GGCCCCGCCGCCCACCAGCTCCCTTACCTGGGGCCGCAAGGCTGTCTGCGCGGCCGGGCCTGAACTTCCTCGTCTCATAACTTTACACACACACACCATGTTATCTATCTGCTGACCTGCTGCTCTGCTCCTCGCTAACTGCTCTGGACGCACCAACCGGTCTGTTCATCCCCGGGCCTGACAAAGGAGAGCCACAAGCAGTCCACAAAGAAAGCTCTTCTCCACCCAGTCCTCCTGCCTCTTGGCCCTGCCACCAGCTGCCTCCGGTTGCAGTGGCTCTGAGGAGGGCTTCCCAGCCTGGGGAGACATCCCTCCCTTTCCAAATTTGCTGTCACCTGAGGCACAGCAGCTGAAGTCCCCGAGACTCCAGCGGGACTGCAGCCCTGCCACAAAGCGACTCCCCATCTGGGAGCACAGCACGCAACCAAATCTCTGCGGCAGCAAGACCCGTGCCCCAGCCTGGACAGATACCAAAACGCACTCACACAGCTCCTTTCACCAATGAAAATCTTCAAGAACCCTCTAGATTTATTCTTGGACCCTTATATTTGCCTAGAAGATATTATGCACTTGAGGCTATGCGGTAATTAGCTGATAACAGATTCAACCAGGTGCATCCCCAAAGGGGAAAAAAACTAAAAGCTTTGCAAGTACACTTTTAGGAGCCAGACATAAATCATTCCTGGAACATATGGTTCAGCGCTATTCAAAGAGAGCACTGAATTTGGTCAGGGTTAGGATTATCCTCCCAAATTCTATCCCTACACATCTGTAGTCACCCAGCTTCACACCTCGACACCATTTCCACCCACACAAAGGGGAAAACAACATTCCTAAAGCTGCTCAAGATTTTGTCTCATTTTTTTGATCATTTGTTCCTGAGGGGAAAAATGATGGAAGTTACTTCTTATAGAAACAGTTTGATATAAAGGCCCTTTTTTACTGAATAGACATCTGAATTAGAAAAATATGAAAAAGCCCTTCTTTTTAACTCTTTCAAGAGTTCTCTTTGAAGAAAGGTTTCCATTTGTTTTCAGTCTCACTTGCTGTGTTACAGACAGATGGTTAATCCAGGAACATCTAGATCCAATTTTAAAATTGGATGCTGTTCTGCTGTACCTTTTGTATTAAAAGTCCTATTTAGGACTCACATGGTAATGTCATGACCAACTAGGCCTCCATCTAGCACAAACAAGAGGATCGTTGCTACCTGAAGGTTATCAAAATAAATGCATAATGTGTCTCACTATAGTAATCGCCTTTGAGTTGAACCGCTTCTCAGAAACCATCATGTTTACTTGAAAAAGCAAATACTGGTTCTACTGAACCCGAGCTGCCTCATAGCAACATTTAAGAGAACCGGATCTCCAGCTTCCACTTTCAGGAGACGTCCTGGATGTTTAAACACACAGGCCTGGGGAGCAGCCCTGCTGTTCCAGAGAACACAGCTCCTGAACTGCGTAACGTTCTCTCAGAAAGTAAAAAAATAAAAGGAATTTCTCTGAGAGAGCAGAAGCGCCTGGATGCAATATTTCTCATTACAAGTGTAATATCATTTCTGTATACTGTCATTCCCACAAAAAAATACAGAGCAGCCTGTTACAATCAGCACACTGTAACACAATGCAGTTGCACACTGCACAAGAATCACCTTTCGGAAAGGTCAGGGAAAAATCAGAAAGCCTGAGGCAAGCTCCTAGCTAGGAAAACTACTAGGCTACTTAATTACGCATTAAAAGGCATAATTAAAAAAAAAAGTAAGATTGCAAAGCCATGGAGTCAGAATTGTCAGTTCAGAAACGCCAAAACTGAAGCTTTCCCTGGTCTCCTTCCGAATTACGATACTTACTAGAGTTACTTGTTAACACGCCACCTGTCCCACAGGACTTGTGCCTCATCCAGTACACAAAATGGGTACCGTTCGCTTAATACAAAGCTATTTGCATATTTCATTTCCCTCACTGATGCTCGTTATGTGTCCTCAGGCCTCATTTACTGTACACTATTCAAATCCCGAAAATCACATTGTTCAATCCCTTGCAGGCCCTTCTGCAATGCAACACACCTCAGTGCTTTGCAAACGATCCGTTTTCTGCTGTGAAACGAAGGACCAGCAAAAACTCTGGTTTGCAGTTACGGCTGTTTGAGGTAGTGAAATTACAGGGGCAGCTCCTGCTGTAATTTCTTTTTCCTTGCATTTTATCTAGCACCCATGAATTCCAATTTCCTTCTGATTTCACAATTTTACAAACATACAAGGTCAGACTCCCAGAAACGGGGGACAGGAGAAGTCAGTTTAAGTGACTCAGCATCTCCCAGGAACTCTGGAAAAGCAGCAATTCTCATTATTGACTAAACACACTCCACCTGCACCAAGTCTCCCGCACTCACAAGAGCACAGCCTCACGCCTCCATCACATGCACTGAACTGGCCACTGTTACGCACAACTAGAAAGAGAACACAGAAGTGCAAAAAATCATCATGCAATGTACACAGAGAACCAAACTTCTGTCATTTTGTAATGATGTTTCTGCTATCTTAAAAACATTTGTCCAATAAAGTGGCAGCTGTTAAATCCCTAGTTGGTTCACTTTTCCAAATAAGCTAAAAAACTTATTTTTAATGTCAAAGAAACATAAAGATACAGAAAACAGATCTGGAAGCCAGGGCAGATATTCTGTTCTGTAGTCTGTGACAGCAAACAACCAAGGTTTAACAGCGTTAAAAGGGAGTAAAAATAAGGTCTTATAATGAGACGAGTCTTGTCAGCTTTCTCTAATAGGAAGCAGAACTGCGTACCATGCTTCTAACAAACATAAATCAATATAGTATTTGAAAGCTCAGTTAAAGATATTTTTCATTTCTAACAGCCAGGCTTGGACATACCAGTATCTAAGATATCATAGATTTTCTTATGACTTCTCAAGAACATTAGGCAGACTAGAGGCCAAACTCAAGTTTGTGTGTTTGACATCTGTGTGTGTGTGTGTATGTATTTTTATATATATATATATATATATATACACACACACACACACACACATATATAACCGTATACATGCATAATATAAAATAAAAATCTGTTAAGTATTTGCAGTTCCAAAATTATTCTAACACTACATCAGATGGGCTTTCTGCATAGATGCAGTTTCTGCTGATGTACTAGACTGACAGCTACAAATATTTTATGAATCTCTGTGTAGGCCCTGAAGCAAAAAGGCACTGAGGTCTGAAAGGTTTTGCGTGGGCCGGATTCTGGAGCGTGGAGAGTGCAGAAGTATGTGAATGGCAAGGACAATACTTACGCGAGTAAGTATTCAATGCTGTGCATAAAACGTTGCGTTACCTGATTCAAAAGGCTCTGGAACACATTTTCCACAAAATCTCAGATTTTCCCACAGCAAAAGTGCCTGGAACACAAAACAATTTCAAAGCACGTTTTAATTGGAACAAGAATTCAAACAGGAAACTCGGAAGAACAGTATTCCCTGTATGAAACCAGGAGAATTTAACTGAAGAGGAGTTTTAAACTCCCATACTAGCTTCCAAATATTAACCTTTTTTTCAGACAAGCTCCAGGTGAACTTGACTAGAATAAAGAATAAAAGCATATAAATATATAAATAAAAGAATAAAACTAGAATAAAGCTGTGGTCTAGATAAATCACATAGCCTTTATTGAGCTTGAAGCTTTCTTGTGTACTACATACACACACTGCTTAGTATTCAGTTTTTCAGGTACTTCTCCTGATATTAAGAAATATTTTTCCCCAATATAATTTCTCTACATTCTGGTCGTCTACTATGTTCTTTGCCAGTCTGCATTTGATGCCCTTTCTGAACAGTGGCTGATTTGGAAAGTGTCAATTCTATTCTTCAGAAACAGCCATTATCGCTAAAAATTCGAGGTGAAACAAGTTGCATATTTAAGATGGCAAAGATATCTGCTGGGAATGCCTGTTTCAGAAAACTGTTTTCTAATCATCATGCAGATGTTTTCGTAGGAACTGCTATGGCAGTGGGCCATGGAGGACCTCTTTCTTTAAGAGAAGTTAATGAAGGCTAGTTCAGGAAAAGGTATAAGAAAACCCACAGAAAACAGTTACAGACAAATTTACTTTGTCACCTACACAAACTAAAGATCACATCCCTTACATAATTTTTGGGCTTTTTAACTTTTATCATTATGAACAGTTTGTTTTCACTTCCAGATACCAGCTCTGCTGAAATTAAGCTTCAGTGTCACTATTTCCTTTAATGATTGATGCATTAGGACCTTAGGTTCTCCTTTTGTACAAGGCATGTGCTGATTTAAGTATAACCGAAGGGCGTGACCTCTGGTGAGGCAGGGAAATTGGAGACCTGGAGCGTGTCACCGTGAAACCAAAGTACCTGCAGAGCTGCTCCACAGCCCCTGCGAGTGCTACAGTGCTGCCAGTAGAGCTGGCAGGAGGTGAAGGCAGCAGCACAGAAAGGCACCCTCTTAGGCTTGCGCATGTTCCCTAGGATTCGCACAGCTCTCAGCCTGCGCTTCTCCCACTGAGGGGAAAAGCCAGAGTCCCCCACACAGAGACGTTACCCTATTTGGTTATAAAACTCACATGTAGCATGAATACTTTTTAACTACCTAAGCTCAACAATCAGCTGGTCAGATCTTCAGTCTGCTAATGGTTTGTTTAATGAGATGCAGGAAGCCTACAGGGCAGTCTTTAAACCTGAGGCAATATAAATCAGTTTCTTAGCACATGAGACATCTGAAAAGCAGCCCTGCACCTCATGTTAAAAATTCGTTGCTATTTGCATTTCAGTAACGCTTTGCTTTAGGTCCTATTCACGGACTGGAGCCCCATTGTTGTAGGCATTGTGACTACACACAATAAAAAGGGCACGCACAAAGACCTTTCAGTCTAAGAGCCATAGTCACTACTGGGG